GCGGGCAGAAAACCGCCGCGCGCCCCGAGCGCGCGGCGGGAAGAAAAAAAAACGAACATCGCGCGCCACGGGACGCGCGACACACAGGAAGGCAGCGGAAGCAGGCGGGCCCACAGGCCAGGAGCGTAACCGCTCTGATAGCATGTCAAGATACTAAGCACCCAGAGAGCTAGGTTTAGGCTTAGAAAGCATAGTTAGGAGTAGGAGCTAGGGCTTAGCCTAGACACAAGAGAGATGTCCAAGCAAGAAGGAGAGTTTGCACTAGCAAGAATGGGGATACAAATAGCAAACCCTAGAAGGGTTGTACTCGCTATAGAGCACCCCACTACAGGCTAGAACATAATATTCTGACAGTCAGCTGATCTACGAGATCAACGTCGATGACAAGATCATCGCCAATGGATTCTTTGGCAACAACTGCGAGGAGCCTGAGACAGACGACGAGTAGATTCTAGCTAGGAATGTAAAACTTCTTAATGTGTAGTGAGTATATTGGTAGATAGACATGCGCAGATTTCATGCTACTGTAGGTTCTAATGTTTAGATCAATAAAATAGTGGAGAGATTACCCCCTGGATGAAAGGGATGCGCTTGTAATAAGTACTGTTAGAATCGTAGGTGTGGGGCCTAGGCTTAGTAGCCTAGGCCCACACTAGGAGGTAGGTGGGTGTGCTCTAGAACTAGGAGTTAGGGTTTACGAAGGAGAATTGGAACGAAGAATGAATGGTGACTAGCAAGCAGCAGAACACACAAATAGCAAACCCTAAGGGGTTGTACTCACTATTGAGCACCCCACTGCAGGCTAGACAAATAACATTCTGACACACCCCCATAGCCAAAGTGGGGTGTAATCAGCAGAGCACACAAAGCAGTACAAGCTCAGGGTGGATCACGACGTCACCACACATTCTGAGCACAAGTTCAAGAACCAATAGTTTATAAATTGTAAGCAGAGCTAGAGGCAGTCACAGAGGGCAAGTGAGGAGGAGGAGGGCTGGCGAGATGAGAGAAGAGTGGAGGCGACGACTGAAGCTGCAGACACACGGGCAACAGACGGCTCTGGTGCAACGCTGGTGGCTACCGGGAGGAGAAAGGCCCCGGAATACAGGAGTAACAGGCTCGGCGGCTGAACAGCAGCGGCAGGAGCAACGGACCCACGGGCGACAGGTGCAACCGGCTCTCTGAGCTACCGGGATTGAGCGCCCCGGAGTACAGGCGCTGTAGACGACACGACGGCGGTCTCCGCTCAACCTCCCCCAACAGTCCCACACCCCTCGACACACACCCCTTGGTCCACCCTTAGCTCCACTCCCATATCACCCCCCCTAGCGCCAGTCCCCTCGGCTCCCACACATCCACCCCCCTCAGCGGCAGCTGCAGCAGTGGGAGACGAAGGAGGAGGAAGGGACGACGCACACGAAGCACCCCCATACCCGTCACCCCCACACTCTCGAACAAAGGCGGGCAAACTCCAGGGGCGGCTGCTGCAGTGGCGGGCTGCTCCAGGGGCGGTTGCTGCAGTGACTGGCTGCTCCAGGGGCTGCTGCTGCAGGCTCGGCAGCGGCAACTGCTGCAGGTAGAGCGGCGGCTGCTGCTGTAGGCTCTGGCGGCGGCTGCTGCTGCAGGCTCTGGCGGCGGCTGCTGCTGCAGGCTCGGTGGCGGCAGCTGCTGCTGCAGGCCTGGCGGCGGCTGCTGCTGCAGGGCGGCGGCGGCTGCTGCTGCAGAGCGGCGGCGGCTGCTGCTGCTGGTAGAGCGGCGGCTGCTGCTGCAGGCTCTGGTGGCAGCTGCTGCTGCAGGCTCTGGCGGCGGCTGCTGCTGCAGGCTCTGGCGGCGGCTGCTGCTGCAGGCCTGGCGGCGGCTGCTGCTGCAGGGCGGCGGCGGCTGCTGCTGCAGAGCGGCGGCGGCTGCTGCTGCTGGTAGAGCGGCGGCTGCTGCTGCAGGCTCTGACGGCGCCCCGCGGGTCCCGCAGGGGGCGTCGCGACGAGCAGGGGCGACGCCCCGCGGGTCCCGCACGGGCGTCGCGACGAGCAGGGGCGACGCCCCGCGGGTCCCGCACGGACGTCGCGACGAGCAGGGCGACGCTGCGCGGGTCCCGTACGGGCGTCGCGACGAGAAGGGGCAGCACCCAGGGGGCGCCGCGACGAGTAAGGGCGACGCCCCGCGGGTCCCGCACGGGCGTCGCGACGAGCAGCAGGGAGGGCAGCGCGCAGGCCCCCCCAAGGACGCTTCGACGGACGGGATAACCGCCGCGCGCCCCGAGCGCGCGGCGGGCAGAAGAAGCCGCCACGTGTTCGGAGCGCGTGGCGGGAAGAAAATGCAATGCCGCGCACCACGGGGCGCGCGGCGGATAGTACGACAGCGGAAGGAGTTGGTGGGCCCGATGAACTAGGCGGCAGGATCTCGCCGGCTCTAGATACCATGTTAGAATCGTAGGTGTGGGGCCTAGGCTTAGTAGCCTAGGCCCACACTAGGAGGTAGGTGGGTGTGCTCTAGAACTAGGAGTTAGGGTTTACGAAGGAGAATTGGAACGAAGAATGAATGGTGACTAGCAAGCAGCAGAACACACAAATAGCAAACCCTAAGGGGTTGTACTCACTATTGAGCACCCCACTGCAGGCTAGACAAATAACATTCTGACAAGTACATGGATTTTATAGGGTGCGCTTATAATTGAGGACCGGCCATAAGCGCATGGCTCCAGATAATAGCCCCGGTGCCTTTAATTGGACGGCGCTATTATCCGGGGCGATAATGTGTTATCTGTTGGAAACATATAGTTCACGCTTCTGATGTGTCGAACACTACAATGTAAGCGAAGCGAACTACAGCGAAGCAACGGCGAGTCAACCGAACTATAGCGAAGCGGTTGACAAAAGAAGCAACAGTAAGAGGTTAAGGGCCACGTATCTTTTGGTGTAGATTGTCTAAGCTCCGCCAAATCCACGTGGCCAACGCGTCCCTCTACGCTCCCGTCGACGCAGAAATTTTCGTCGAACAGCCACACGGATTTGTCACAGACCCCAATCAAGTCAGTCAGCTACTGAAATCACTGTACAGCATCAAGTAAGCCCCATGACTGTGGCAACATTACCTACACGCCCAATTAATCCACATCGGCTTTCGTCAACTGCGACACAATCAGGGAACGTACCGACTCATAAAGGCCGCCGAGTACATCCTGCTAATCGTCTATGTAGACGATCTGCTCTACATAGGCTCCACCGACGGCATCACCACCTGGTTTGAAGAGGAGCTGCAGCAGGATCTCCCACTCACCGACTCCTCCATTGTAACTCAATATCTAGGACTCAATATACTCGACGGGGAAAACTCGATCTACCTCAGCGCCGCTAAATACGCCGACACCATCGCAGAACACTTCGGCCTAACGCCAGTCGCCGTCTCCACGCAGTATCGCTATACCACGGGAAATCACAAGGGAGAGACTGCTCCGCTCGGACCTGCCGGCCTACGCGACTACTAGCGAAAGCTGGGATGCTTGCTCTTTGCAGCCGTTACCGGCCAACCGGACCTGTCGTACTGGGCGATATAATTTGACACCTATCTCAAGAATCCCGAAGCGGAACACATGGCGGAACTCGATCGCGCACTACACTACCTCGCCAACACACCAACAGTCAGCTTGACCTACCACAAAACCAGAACCATAATTCCAAAACTAATCGGCCATGTGGATGCTGACCACGCTGGCGATTCCGATAAAAGGTGATCGCGCACCGGCTACATCTATCGAATCGAGCCTACCGGTCCTATCTCGTGGCAGTCGAGCAAGCAAGAGCTAATTGCTCTCTCCTCAGCTGAAGCAGAATACATTGCACTCTGCTCAGCCACCAAGGAAGGGCTGTACCTTCGCGGGCTACTGGAAGAAGCAAAGCTGGCCCAGTTATCCGGCTTCTCTGTCTTCTGCGACAACCAATCGGCAATTCGCATAGCGAACAAGAACGGGTTCGCGAACCGAACAAGCACATCGCCCTGCGATAATTCTTTGTGAAGGACGAGATCGAGAAAGGAAGACTCGAGCTATCCTACTGCCCCACATCCGAGATGGCAGCAGATTGTTTGACCAAGAAACTCAAAAAGCAGAAGTTCGAGTACTGCATGCTGCTGACTGGACAAGGCCACATCACCTGCTACGAAGGTAATGACACTCCCGGAGCTAAGGGGAGTGTTGGAAACATATGGCTCGCACTTCTGATGTGTCGAACACTACAATGTAAGCGAAGCGAACTACAGCGAGTCAACCGAACTACAGCGAAGCGGTTGACAAAAGAAGCAACAGCAAGAGGTTAAGCGAAGGTCAAAGGCCAGCGACCTTTGACTCGCCAAAAGCAGAACGACAGCAAGGACACATAACTGACTCGCTATTTAGCCGTTTACCCGAGTTGTCGCTGTATCGAACTGCAACAGTAGTGAGTTAAAACCTTTCATATTCCTTGTAATCATATAAAAAGCTTTGTATCCCCTTGCTATAATCAACTTATCTTGTTCTCACACACCAGCACAAGGTGGTTCAATCAATTCACTAAGACGCTTCCGCTAATACATCATTATCCTGAGACTTAGTCTTGAAAACGATCCTAAGGGCCTTTTCTCAGCCCAACATTATCCTCATGCAGCGGTGCAGTGGAGCATGCAGCGGTGCAGTGGAGCATGCAGCGGGGCAGTGGAGCATGCAGCGGTGCAGTAGAGCATGCAGCGGTGCAGTGGTGCAGTGGAGCATGCAGCGGTGCAGTGGAGCATGCAGCGGTGCAGTGGAGCATGCAGCGGTGCAGTGGGGCATGCAGCGGGGCAGTGAGGCATGCAGTGAGGCACTGAGGCATGCAGTGAGGCAGTGGGGCATGCAGCGAGGCAGTGAGGCATGCAGCGGGGCAGTGAGGCATGCAGCGGGGCAGTGAGGCATGCAGTGGGGCAGTGAGGCATGTGCCACACGATGGCAGTGACAAGCTCTGGGGCCAGCAGCAGCGGGGTTGAGGGCGGCGATGCAAGTGAGAGGGCGGCGATGCACAGGTCAGAGTGAGAGGGCGGCGATGCAAGTGGGAGGGCGGCGATGCATAGGTCAGAGTGAGAGGGCGGTGGACAGGGAGGGGTGGGAGAGCGATGCGGTGGCGCCTTCAATCAACATGCGCTGCCGCTTTCTGTGCTGCCTTTGCTGGCGCCGCGTGAGACACACAGGCGAGGGGGACACGGGCGAGGGGGACACGTGCGAGGCGACTGCACGGCCGCCACCCACAGGCACCATGGAAGGCGTGCTGGGCCGTGTTGCAGCCTGCGTGTGGCCCGGCCCCACATCGACCCCTTTTGCCTCGCGGTGCTGCCTCCCTGCCTCACCCCCTTGTCTCGCAGCCTCCTCTCTCCGTCTGCGCCACTGCCTCTGCCGCCTCCTCTTGCGCGCCTTGAGAGCTGCGCTGAGGGCGGCTCTGCCAGCCCCGCCAGCACTGAGGGCGGCTCTGCCAGCCCCGCCAGCACTGAGGGGCGCCAGCACTGCACCGCCTCGCCGCCCGCCATCCCATCCACCTGCTGCCTCCCCACTGCTCGCCCCACTGCCATCCTCATTCTCGTCCGCGTCCCCCTCCACCTCGCCCTCCACCTCCCCCTCAACCTCGCTCTCCACCTCCCCCTCCTCCGCATCAACAGCCCCACTCACCCCATTCATGTGCTCCTCGCTCTGCCCTCCTTCCCCACATGCCTCCCCTCCTTCCCCTCCCTCTCCCTGCGCATCCCCGCCCTCCCGCACGCTCCCTCCCTGTAGTTGCTCCTCCCTCGCCCTTTTCCTCCCGACCTTCCTCTCTCCTTCCCTCTCCCTCTCCCTCTCCCTCTCCCTCTCCCTCTCTCTCTCCCTCTCCCTCTCTCCCTCTCCCTCTCCCTCTCCCTCTCCCTCTCCCTCTCCCTCTCCCTCTCCCTCTCTCCTCTTTCCCGCTCCCGCTCCCTCTCCCGCTCTTCATCCCGCGCCTCGCCTGCCATCGCCTGCACGCCCCTCCCCTCCGCACGTCTGCCCGACCGTGCTGCCATCCACTCGCCACCTGCGCCCTGCACTGCCTCACCTGCGCCCTGCACTGCCTCACCTGCGCCCTGCACTGCCTCACCTGCGCCCTGCACTGCCTCACCTGCGCCCTGCACTGCCTCACCTGCGCCCTGCACTGCCTCACCTGCGCCCTGCACTGCCTCACCTGCGCCCTGCACTGCCTCACCTGCCGCGCCGCCACTAACCCTGCCATGCCCGCTACCCCCCCCACTGCCACTTGCACCTCTGCCATCTCTCCCCTGCCCGCCGCCCGCATCCTTCGTTGTGACATCATCTCCTACTTCCCCTTCCCTTTCAAACCCTTCCTCCATTTCCTCCACACTTGGCTTCCCTCTTCCCTCCTCGCGCTCTTCCACTCCTCCCTCTTCCCCTTCTTCCACCGGCCCCTCTCCTCCACTCTCTCTCTCTCTCCTCTACCCTCATCTCTCCTCCCTCCGCTCCTCCCTCCCCACCTTCCTTCCCTAATACCTTCTCTTTTCCCTCTTTTCCGCCCGTCGCCCCTCCCTCCAGTCCCCTCTCCTCTTGCCCCACCCCTGCCAATCGCCCCACCTCCGCCCGCTGCCCCGCCACACACGTCGCATCCTGCCCCGCCGCAGCACCCCTCCCTGCAGCGCCTCCCGCGCTGCCCGCTCCATTCTTCTCGCCACCTTTCTCTGTCTCATCAACTCGCTCCCCCCCCTCTTTTCCCTTGGCTGCCGTCACTCCCCTCGCTGTCATCCACCACAACCACATCCGCCTCCTCCCCCTCGCCCTCCCCTTTCCCTTCCCCTTCCCCATCCCGATCCCCCTTCCCTTCCCCCTGCCCCTGTTTGTCCTCCGCGCCCTCCGTCTGCCCCTCCAGACACCACACACCATCGGAGCTGCATGCCCCACCGCCCTGCTCTTGCGTCGTCTCGCCCTCCCCAACCACCTCCACCACATCGCTCTCCTCCCTCCCCTCCACCTCCATTCGCTCCTCCCCACCCGCTCCCTCGCTCTCCACTTCCATCCTCCCAATTCCCTCCTCGCGCTGTTCTGCTTCCACCTCCTCCTCATCCATCTCCTCCTCCATCTCCTCCGCCTGCCCCACCCCCCAAGCTGCGCCACCTCTCCCTCCGCTTCCTCCTCTCCCTCCGCTTCCTCCTCTCCCTCCGCTTCCTCCTCCCCCTCCGCTTCCTCCCCCCCTCCGCTTCCCTTCCTCCTCCCCCTCCGCTTCCCTCCTCCCCCTCCGCTTCCTCCTCCCCCGCTTCTTCCTCCTCTCCCTCCGCTCCTCCTCCTCCCCCCCCGCTTCCTCCTCCCCCTCCGCTTCCTCCTCCCCCTCCGCTTCCTCCTCCCCCTCCAATTCTTCCTCCTCTCCCTCTCCCTCCGCCTCCTCCTCTCTCTCCGCTTCCTCCTCCCCCTCCGCTTCCCCTCCCCCTCCGCTTTCCTCCTCCCCCTCCGATTCCTCCTTTCCCTCCGCTTCCTCCTCCCCCTCCAATTCTTCCTCCTCTCCCTCCGCTTTCCTCCTCTCCTCCGCTTCCTCCTCCCCCTCCGATTCCTCCTCCCCCTCCGCTTCCTCCTCCCCCTCCGCTTCCTCCTCCCCCTCCGATTCCTCCTCCCCCTCCGATTCCTCCTCCCCATCTGCTTCCTCCCCCCCCCCGATTCCTCCTCCCCATCTGCTTCCTCCTCCCCCTCCGATTCCTCCTCCCCATCTGCTTCCTCCTCCTCCCCCCCCGATTCCTCCTCCCCCTGCACTCCCTCCTCGCCCGCACCGCCCGCGCTGCTGCCAGGCGAGCGGTGTAGCCCCGCCCGCCCAGGCACGGGCAAGGGCACCTCCACCACGTCGCTCTCCTCCTCGCCCTCCCCCACTCCTTCGCCCTCCATTCCATCCTCATCACCTTCCTCCTCCTCCTCCCCCTCCTCCTCCTCCTCCTCCTCCTCCTCCTCCTCCTCCTCCTCCTCCTCCTCGTCCCCCTCCTCTTCCTCCTCCAGCTCCTCCAACTCCTCCTCCCTCACCTCCCTCACCCCCAGCTCACCCAGAACTCCCCACGCCCTGCTCGCCGCATCATCAGCCGCGCCGCCCTCCCTCCCACCTGCGTGCATCCCTGCGCTCGCCTCATCATCGTCCGCCTCCGCGTCTGCTCGGCCCGCCCCTCCCCCCGCCTGCCCACCATCGCGGCCCACCAGCAGCAGGCGCTGCCGCTTCTCTCGGCGCCAGCGGGCGAGCGCCACGAGGCGGGCCTCACCGGGCGCCATGTGGGGGTTGTGCCGCCGCACGCGCCACGTCTCCCGCTCCACCCACTCTCTCATCGCCGCCCGCTCCACGCCCGCCCCCGCCCTCCCTGCCGCCCCCGCCCTCCCTGCCGCCCCCGCCCTCCCTGCCGCCCCCGCCCTCCCTGCCGCCCCCGCCCTCCCTGCCGCCGTCGCCCTGCTGCTGCCTGCAATGGTGGGGCGTGCAGCGGCGGTGGGTGCGGCAGGGGAGGCCGGGCGGGGGGCGGTGAAGAGGCGCTGCTGCAGGCGGGGGGAACGCCGCACGCGCTCTGATGGGGCCGAGGGGGCTGAGGGGGGAGTGGGCGTGGCTGTGGGGGTGGGGTTGGCTGTGGGGATTAAGGTGGCATGGAGTGGGCGTGGTGACAGGGATGGCTCTCCAGCACTAACAGCACCCCCTGCAGCCCCGCCACTGGCAGCAGCAGGTGCAGCAGAAGCGGCAGCAGCAGTGGCAGGCAGGGACGGCGGGGCAGCAGGAGGATGCGCGGCGGGCGAGGAGGCATCCAGAGCGGGCAGGGGCGGGAGTGGCGGCACTTGGGTGCGTGCAGCACAAGGTGTGGGGGCACGTGCAGCAGCACGGGAACGCGGGAGGGAAGGAGGAGCGGGAGGGACCGGGCGGGTGGGCGGTGAGCGGAGTGCCGCAGAGGCAGAGGCAGAGGCAGAGGCAGGAGGCGCGGCAGAGGGGGGAGCAGGGGCAGCGGGGGTGAGAGCAGCAGCAGGTGGCGGTGGAGTGACAAAAGCGGCGGGCACATGGAGAGACGGGTGGGGGGCGCGGGGGCAGCAGGGAGGGGAGCCATGGCGTGGGGCGTGATGGAGGCGAGGAGGTGGGGCGTGATGGAGGCGAGGTGGTGGGGCGAGATGGAGGAGAGGAAACGCAGCTCTGCAAAGGGCAAGTCTATGGGCGCTCCTTCTGCCATGCCATGTGCGATGACGTCACCATGCACGCCCACATGCATGCACACCCACATGCATGAGCCCATACGCACATGCGCACGCCCACACACAAATGCACGCAGGAAAGAGGAGCACGAGGTTATCAGCCCACCGCAATCAGAAGGTGCATCGGGTGTGCATCGGGTGTGTCCTTGACCCTAAGCATCCTCTACTTTCTCTCTCCCGCCTATCCTCTCACGTGCTTACATCCCTCTGCCTCGCACCTCGCCCGCCCGCCTGCACGGTACGCGCGCCTCACCTGCCAGGCGGCGCAGCGCGTCAGCCATCTCCGCCAGGCCCAGCTGCACCGTCTCCAGCGCGCCCGCCACCTCCGCGGCGCACATCGCCGCTGCCGCTGCGGTGCCATCCCCATCCGCCTCCTCCGCCCCATCTCCGCGCGCCACCGCTGCTCCGTGCGCCGCGGGCTGCGGCGGCCGTTCGGGCTGCATGCTCGCGCGCGTGCCTCCAACAAGCTTGCTGGGCGGCGACGGGCGGGCGGGAAAAGCGACGATGGACGATCGATAAGGTCGCGGCGTGAAGAGAGGCGGAGCGCGGAGTGGAGAAGCGCGCGGAGGGAGGTGCGGTGGGTGGGAGCGTCACGCCTTGAAACGACAGCTCGCGGGTGACGCTTTGGGTGGCGAACAATTCTCAGCCCGACGTGAGTTGAGGATCGACGCGGACGGCGCGCACGCGTGGGCTGCGGAGATGCGCGGGCACGACTCGAGTCGGTAGTTGGCGAGCATTAGAGCGACATTGAGGCGTGCGGTGAAGCACCAGACCCGACCAGAGACCAGCAGATCCAGTGGCCACACCCCTTCATCTACTGGTTTAGTACACCCAATTTCCTATGGAATTTTGAGTCCCCTCTTTCACATTTATCAACTACTAGGATGTGTCTATTACCGAAGAAGTTGTTTATGAAAGTAGCATTGTACTTGTGGCATATCACAAAGCCAATGTCCTGAAGCACGCTGTTACAATGCCAAGCGGGACTTAGGGCGTGTTTCTACGCCTCTTATAAGTCAAACCTCTTATTAGACTTGCGTGGTGGTACAATCAGGGCTGATTTTATTAGGGTAATTACCCTGATTTTAGGGTGATTTCAGGCTTTCCACTTTGCGAAGGCTGAGATTTCAGAATTACTGAGTTTTCAACCCTGTTCAAATTGTCAAACATTATATATGTTGTGTTTGTTTAGGCTACAGTGGGTTAGCCTATAGGGGGTACACAATTCTAGGGTTAGGTACTTGTACTGATTTCACTGTTAGTTCAATCATTCCTGTCCGTTCATTCTGACATGGTATCAGAGCAGGTCCTTCACTAGGACCGTTTTAGGGCCCACCGCTACCTACCTACCTACCTACCGTGCGCCCTCGTGCGCCCTCGCGCCCTCGTGCGCCTCTTACTACCGTGCGCCCTCGTGCGCCCTCGCGCCCTCGTGCGCCTCTTACTACCGCGCGCCCTCGTGCGCCTCTTACTACCGCGCGCCCTCGTGCGCCCTCGCGCCCTCGTGCGCCTCTCCCTACCGCGCGCCCTCGTGCGCTCTTGCGCCCTCGTGCGCCTCTCCCTACCGCGCACGCACGGCCTGCTAGCCACCCGCGCGCGGCCCGCTTTCCGCGGCGTCGTCGCCAGCCCGCGGCGTCGTCGCCTGCCCGCGGCGTCGTCGCCTGCCCGCGACGTCGTCGCCTGCCCGCGGCGTCGTCGCCTGCCCGCGGCGTCGTCGCCTGCCCGCGGCGTCGTCCCCTGCTCGTCGCGTCGACCTGCCCGCGGCGTCGCCACCTGCCCGCCGCGTCGCCCTGCCCGCGGCGTCGCCACCTGCCCGCCGCGTCGACCTGCCCGCGGCGTCGCCACCTGCCCGCCGCGTCGCCCTGCTCGCGGCGTCGCCACCTACCCGCCGCGTCGCCCTGCCCGCGGCGTCGCCACCTGCCCGCCGCGTCGCCCTTCTCGCCGCGTCGCCCTGACCTAATCCGCCTCTCGCCCCTGGAGCAGCCGCCACTGCAGCAGCAGCCCCTGGAGCCGCCCGCCACTGCAGTAGCAGCCCCTGGAGCCGCCCGCCACTGCAGCAGCCCCCTCTGGAGCAGCACGTACCTGCAGCAGCTGCCCCTGGAGCAGCCCGCACCTGCAGCAGCCGCCCCTGGCCCCTGGAGCAACCACCGCTGCAGCAGCCGCCCCTGGCCCCTGGAGCCGCCGCCACTGCAGCAGCCGCCCCTGGCACCTGGAGCAGCTGCCGTCGCGGCCCAGCCTCGCCCTGCAGCAGCTGCCGCGGAGCTCCCTGCTGCGGCCCGGCCCAGCCCTGCAGTTGTAGCGGCCCCGCTGTCGCCACCGTCTTGCGCCTGCCGCGCCGACCACTGGTGAGCATTGCCCAGCACTGCTACTGCTACCGCTGCTACTGCTGCTACTGCCTTTTCTACTCCCACTGCCACAGCTCCTGCTGTTACTACTGTTGCTGCCGCTACTGCTACTACTGCTGCTCCTGGCGTGGCCAGATGCAGCTCCAGGGCCGTGCGCGTGAGTCCCTCACGCCCCAGCAGCTTCGTGCGCGTGAGTGGTACGCTAGTTGGGGCTGTCGGGGTGGCCGTAGTGGTGGTCGCTCTGGAGTGGGTCGGTCGGGAGCTTCTGGTAGTGGACAGGTGCAGCTGCCGTGCCCTCCTTCGCCCCAGCTGCTTCTGTCAAACATATGTGCTGCATACTGTCTAGGCTGTAGTGGGGTAGCCCATATGGGGTACAACCCAAATTAGGGTTTACTACTTGTACTCCTGCATGCTGCTAGTTCACTCATTCCTGCCTGTTCATTCTGACATGGTATCAGAGCAGGTCCTTTGCTAGGACCGCTCCTAGGGCCCACCGCTACCTACCTACCTACCTACCTATCGTGCGCCCTCGTGCGCCCTCGTGCGCCCTCGTGCGCCCTCGTGCGCCTCTCACTACCGAGCGCCCTCGTGCGCCTTCGCGCCCTCGTGCGCCCCTACCTACCGCGCGCCCTCGTGCGCCTTAGCGCCCTCGTGCGCCTCTACCTACCGCGCGCCCTCGTGCGCCTTAGCGCCCTCGTGCGCCTCTACCTACCGCGCGCACGCAGCCCGCTAGCCACCCGCGCGCGGCTCGTTTTTAACGCGCGCGACTCGCTAGCCGCCCGTGCGCGGCCGATTTTTCGCGCGCGCGCCTCGCTAGCCGCCCGCGCGCGGCCGATTCTTCGCGCGCGTGACCCGCTAGCCGCCCGCGCGCGGCTTAGGGTTTTTCACGCGACCCGTCGCGGCCTTGTGCGGCCCCGCGCACTGCCCGCGAGCAGCCGCCGCTCGACCTGCAGCAGCTGCCGCCGCCGAGCTTGCAGCAGCAGCCGCCGCTCGACCTGCAGCAGCTGCAGCAGCAGCCGCCGCCGACCCTGCAGCAGCAGCCGCCGCCGAGCCTACAGCAGCGGCCGCCGCCGACCCTACAGCAGCAGCCGCCGCTCGACCTGCAGCAGCTGCCGCCGCCGAGCCTGCAGCAGCAGCCGCCGCTCGACCTGCAGCAGCTGCCGCCGCCGAGCTTGCAGCAGCAGCCGCCGCTCGACCTGCAGCAGCTGCAGCAGCCGAGCCTGCAGCAGCAGCCGCCGCCGACCCTGCAGCAGCAGCCGCCGCCGAGCCTACAGCAGCGGCCGCCGCCGACCCTACAGCAGCAGCCGCCGCTCGACCTGCAGCAGCTGCCGCCGCCGAGCCTACAGCAGCGGCCGCCACCGACCCTGCAGCAGCTGCCGCGGAGCTCCCTGCTACGACCTGGCCCCGCCCCGCTGTTGCAGCGGCCACGCTGTCGCCACTGTCTTGCGCCCGCCGCACCAACCACTGGTGAGCTTTGCCCTGCTAGCACTGCTACCGTTACTGCTGCCGCTACTGCTGCTGCTCCTGACGTGGCCAGATGCAGCTCCAGCAGGCTCGTGAGTGGTACGCCGGCTTGGGCAGTCGGGGTGGCCGTAGTGGTAGTCGCTCTGGAGTGCGTCGTTCGGGAGCCTCTGGTAGTAGACCGGTGCAGCAGACGTGCCCTCTTCTGCTCCAGCAGGCTCGTGAGTGGTACGCCGGTTTGGGCAGTCGGGGTGGCCGGCGTGGTAGTCGCTCTGGCGTGCGTCGTTCGGGAGCCCCTGGTAGTGGACAGGTGCAGCAGCCGTGCCCTCTTCTGCTCCAGCAGGCTCGTGAGTGGTACGCCGGTTTGAGCAGTCGGGGTGACCGTAGTGGTAGTCGCTCTGGCGTCCGTCGTTCGGGAGCCTCTGGTAGTGGACAGGTGCAGCAGCCGTGCCCTCTTCTGCTCCAGCAGGCTCGTGAGTGGTACGCCGGTTTGAGCAGTCGGGGTGGCCGTAGTGGTAGTCGCTCTGTGAGTGAGGCAGCCGCTCTCGGTGCCAGTACGTCTGTTGCCCTCGGTGCAGGTGAGGCTACCACTCCCGGTACTCGCGTGTCTGCTACTCCAGGTGCTAGTGCGTCTGCCGCTCCAGGTGCTCGCGTGTCTGCTACCCCAGGTGATGGTGAGGCTGCCGCTCTAGGTGCTGGTGAGTCTGTCTCCCCTGGTACTGAGTCGACTGAGGCACTGCACACCTTCACACTGGACTCAGGTGCTTCTCGCTGTTTCTTTCGTGACCGCACTGCCCTTGAGCCACTTGCTCGGCCAGTTGCGGTCTCCCTCGCTGACCCCTCTGGGGGTCCGGTCATTGCGACCTCCTCCACTGTTCTTCCCTGTCCTGCGGTCCCGTCTGGCACACTGTCTGGTCTCCACCTCCCCTCGTTCTCTACGAACTTGGTGGCGGGTTGTGCGCTCCAGGACGCGGGTGTTCACCAGTTCACCCCGGCCTACGAGCGCGTGACACACTGCACGTGTGCTCGGACGGGCCGTCACCTGGCTACCTTCACTCGGCAGCCGGGGTCGGACTTGTACACACTGACCACTGAGTCCCCTCAGGTAGCTGCGTCTGCGTCTGCGTCTGCGTCAGGTCAGCTGTCTGCCCCCTGCTCGTGTCGCTCTCTGGCGCACGACACTGTCCTCTGGCACCACCGACTTGGCCACCCGTCTGTGCAGCGCCTTCGCGCCATGCACAAACGGCAGCTTGTCTCTGGTCTTCCCAGGGTGCTCCCTCCCCTCCCACCCTCGCCTGCTCCTGACTGTCTACCCTGTGTCGAGGGGCGGCAGCGCGCCGCTCCTCACTCCTCCTCCTTTCCCCCGACAACTGCTCCCTTGCAGACGCTCCACATGGACGTGTGGGGCCCAGCCCGCGTCCGTGGTCAGGGTCAGGAAAGGTACTTCCTAGGCAAGCGTTTTCACTCGGACTTTCCTGTCCTGCGCTTGCACTCTGACAGAGGTGGTGAGTTCTCCTCCGACCTCTTGGCAGCCTACTGTGCTGAGCACGGCATTGAGCAGTCGTTCACGCTTCCGGCCTCTCCACAGCAGAATGGGGTCGCTGAGCGCCGCATTGGCTTGGTCATGGAGGTCGCTC